TATTCCGCTGGCAAAACAGCTGTGCCAACGGGAGCAGGGCTGCCTGGGATCACTGTCTGCTGGCCACGCCGCCGGGCCCTGATTGGAATATTCCCGCCGAGCAGATAACGGGGGCGATGGGAATGATAAGGGCGGCCTCTTGGGCTGCAGAGGCCCTGCGGGGTTCCGATTGTGCTGCTCTGGTTTGCACAGTCAGGGGACGGCTGCTGGAATGCGGAGGGGAACCCGGCTGGCCGCGCCCGGGGCCCCATCCCCGGCAGCTTCAGGGGAGCCAGGCGTGTGCGCGCTGCGCCGGGCGCGGGGCCTGAGCTGCCTCCCGGGCTGCCCCGCCGCCGCGAACGGAGTGGGGACACCGGGGCGCGGAGCACAGGACCGTGCGGCCGACCGGGCGCCCGGCTCGGACCCGGAGGGCTGGCCGCCGTGGCGGGGCAGCGCCAGGGGGTGAAGATCGGTCTCTAGAACCGCAGGAGGGACCGCACGTGCAGGGAGCCCGCGCTCAGACAAAACCCCCAGCCCCGCAGCCTGAGAAAGGACGTGATCCCAGGGGACTTCGATGCACACATACAAGTTTCTGTGTGGGTGCATTTCCCCCCCCCCCCTCACCCCCCCCTCTTTCTTTCCCTAGTGGCAACTCTAAAGAGAGGGCCTCCTTAGGCTTTCTGGGTGAAGGGGGCCCACAAGAATTCACGAGTTTGGTCAATGTTGCTTTGGATGCCTTCTTGTGCAGGAGGGCAAAGCAAGTTCAGATTCACAACTTAAGACAGACAAGAGACCCACCTGCAGGCAGGTTGCTACGAGGAGAAGGATGGGATTTAAAACAGGCTCCGGAATTCATTGTGCCCAGGGTTTAGGCCTTCAGGAAATTACAAAAGGTTCAGGGAGCATTGCGTGGGGGGGAAAGCCATGACTGCTTTCAGGAAAAAAGAATCTTCGCCCCTCCATTTCCCTATGAGGCTGCAGGCTTTAGCAGGCATACACTATTAGCATAGTTTTCCTAGGTTGCAGGCTTTTTATTTTTTTTTATTTTTATAATAGTGGAACTGCTGGGTTTCAACCATTAGCTACAGCTTTCTTTCTTTTTCTTCATCAGCATAAACTATCCAGAGGCATGCCAGCAAATCTTGCACGTAATGTTTCCGCGGTGAAAGGGATTGGAGGAGAACAGTGTGGAGTTGTGAGAAAAGGAACCGTGGTTGGGAGAAGGTCTCATTTCATTCACGTTTAAAAATCTGTTGCATTTTCCTCAGAGGAAGATCTTTGAAGTGAAGCAGAACTGAAATGTTTTTCCTTGATCATTATGTTCTAAATAAATGGTATTTTATTGTTTAGGAAATTCCAGGTTTTAAAAGTAGTACTTTGGGGTATTTCCCCAATTACGTATGCTTTAGGATTCCATCAGGAATTTTTACAGGCCACTTCTATACCTCAGGCTTTTGTGTATCAGCTCAGGACTTAGTTTCTCAACTTGGCTAATAATTCTATGAAAAAAAAAAAAAAAAAAACACACCAAAAAACCCACCACTGCAGCTAGAAGCAGATTCTCTTTTCTGCTCACCATGTCTTGGCGCAGAGTGTTGATGAGGTGTCAGAGTCTAGAATGTTAAAACTTTCTCCTTTGTAACTGACAGGGACAAAGTTGTGGTTTTTATCAGTAAAATAAACTGATATAATTTATAGGGACATACAGGAAGCAGCTGTCTGCCTTGGCAAGTTGCCATTTTTATAGCCTCTGTTTCAAACACAAGCCACACTTTTAAATAATTAGTTACTTACTAATGAGATCCAAAAATTAAGTCGTCAAAATAGGAAAAGAAGGTCGACTCTTGAGTGACTACAGGGCCTGTTTTAAAAAAAATCTATTTCAGATGAGGGGTGGAAGGTAGGAATTATTATTCTCGGGGACCATTAATTAGTGGATTTCAGTCAGTGCCTGGGGCTTTACCTCTTCTCCCCGGAGTCCCTCTGTGCAGTGATGAGTATTTGGAGGGTTTATTACTTTGTTAAAATGAAGTCCTTTGCTTGGGGTAAAACCCAACAACTCCAAAAACCAAGTTTGTCAAGGAACTAAAGTGATTGTCTCCTCACTGCTGTTAATTAGCTCTGTCCTCTAAGGCAGAGGCTGATGTCTTACCAGGAATCCCATCTCTTTGTGGGTTTTTCTGGCCCATTGGCTTGTTTCTGTTTGCAGTTTGAATTGAGAAAACTCCATTCATATTCAACCAATAAAACTGTGTTTCGAGGGGGGAAAATTGTAGTAAATGGCCTGCTTATCCAAAATGATTGAGAATGGAGTGTTTTGACTAATTAAATATTCCTGTTAACATGTTTAGCTTTTGCGTCATTGCCAGTTTTCAAAGAAAGACTGGATTAAAGACATATAGTAAACCAGTGGCGTTTGAGATTTAAGACATCAGCTTGGGACTTAGGAACCATCTGTGCCATGGAGTCCTCACTAGATCCTGTATCTACTCAGTACACTTTCTTATGGGTCTGGGGGGCTGGAAAGATGGCCAGGGCTTTCTGTCCTCATGGAGCTTACTGTCTGGAGGTGGGATGGATTTTCAGCAAAAGTTCCAAGTGAAGAATTCGTTGTGATGGGTGTTGGCCTAGACTCAAGGAGGCTGGTGGAATTCAGTTGGGGTGCAGTTCATTGACTATTTAGCTTATGCAGTCAGCCAGGACTTCAATTGGGACCTATTGCACCGAGTACGTAAGCAGTGAACAAAAGTCTGTAGAGCAGTTTGTTGTCTACAAGCTTGAGTGAGCCTGATCATCACCAGTGCTGGTTAAAATGCAGGCTCCCTGGTGCCACCCTCCCAGGTGTAAGGGATTGGACCTGGCAGTCCGAATGTTTCGTAAGCATTGCAGAGGGCAGGTTCCAGTGGCTCTTGTACCACTCTGAGAAACAGTGCTGTGGCTGGGGTTGAATTGTTCTTGTGGGATACTTTAAAGATGATGTTTAAATCAATTTTGGAGGAGTGTTATGAAATTAAAGAATTTGTTAGAGCTAGAGGGGGCCATCAAGAATTTCTCCTTCCGGGATCTTTATCTGAATTCACGGAAAAGTCGGGAGAATCCGTGTTCCCTCTGAAATTAAGTGTACAGTTTCATGTTTAAGAATATTCTTCTAGGGAGAGGATCCATGACTTAAAATATATATATATATATATATATATATATATATATATATATATATATATATATATATATATAATTTTTTTTACAGAGGGGAAGGGAGAGGGATAGTTAGAAACATCCATGAGAGAGAAACATCTATCAGCCACCTCATGCACACCCCCTACTGGGTATGTGCCCGCAACCAAGGTGCATGCCCTTGACCGGAATCGAATCTGGGACCCTTGAATCTGCAGGCTGAGGCTCTATCCACTGAGCCAAACCAGTCAGGGCGAGGATCCATAACTTTTAACATATTCTTAAAGAGGACTGCACCTCCATCCGCAAGGCTAAGTCCCACTGTGTGATTCTGTCATGTGACAGATGGGAAACCAGGCACTGAACAACTCCATTCTAGTAGCCAGTAAGGAGGCCTCACCCTGGACTTGTGCAAAGGGGCAGTCCTGGGAAAGGGCCTTCTGAGCTCCTTCACATTGTTGTACTTTGATGGGGTTTTCTGAGGGCTGTTTCTGAATTTGCAGTGGTTCTTACAGTTGACATATAAATTTCACTTTGTACTTCTTTTTTTTTTTATTCCAGAAAAGTTATTCTTGAATAACTTGTGTGTTTTACACTGAATGACACTGGGTAATGAAGGAAAAGAAGTGGAAGTTAGTGGAAAAGCTGGTATGAGGCTCTGAATCTTAAAAGTGTTCTAGTTCCTTGAATTCCAGATTTCTTGTGCAATAAAGAATGTGCAGTTCCCTTGCAAATCTGAGTTCAGGATGACTTAAATATATCATCTGCTGTTTTAACTCTTTTCCTTGGTTAGGCAATTGCTTATTTTATTTCACTAATCATTTTGGCTGATCATTTTTGCTAAATGTAGAAAATAAGCAAGTGACTCAACTGAAGAAATGCCCACCATGAGAGTTACAATCTAGATAGCTAGAAGAAAACATTCTAGAGAATGTTGTCATCTTTTCCTGTATTCTTGTATTTCATGGCTGGGGGTAGGGGGAAGAAAGAACATGACACCAAATTGAGTGAAAGTTGATGAATGATGAGTTAGGGCGATTTATCACATGAATGAAGCCAGTGAAAGGCCAACTAACTGAACTTGCCTTTAGCTGAGTTTTAATATTTCTTAAGTGGTTCCAGTCTTTTCTGTTGGCAGTCTTTTGACCTTCTGTGGGATCGAGAGCGATATTGTTCTATTACCTTTGTTGGTTTTAAAAATATAAAGAACTAAAATGAATTGTAATGGTCTTATGTTTTAAGAAAGCTTAAAGAATATGGTTTACCTCACAAATTGGGATCAAGAAGCATATTGCAATTTAAACATCTCAGTGAGAGGAAGCAAAACTGGCTTCTTGACCTGAATTATCCTGATTCAAAACATTGAGTAGGGCTTGGATTTGAGCAATTGCTGCACTGTCTTTAAACACATTTCATTAGTTAAAAGCCTTCCCCTGCTTGGAAAGCTGTCCTAATGCCTCTTCCTATAAAAGTTGGCCACCTGAAGAGACATTTGTAGATGCAGCTTAAAAGAGTAATGTGACACTTGGGTTTCACACTATAAACACAGCTGTAAATGGAGATATTTTGATCATTTAATACCAAATGCCCAGTAGGAATTTGGGGAAAAGTCCCACATTATGGACATTGCCCTCTGTTCTCCTTTTTGCACGTGCAGACAATACGAATGGCTTGTTCATAAAACTTTGATGAATTTTTTTTTGCAAGAGAACACGCAGGGAAGGCTCATCCATATTTTGAACTTGCTAACGCGGTAGGCACCTCCTTTGGGGACAGGCAAAGTGGGCTTCTGAGCGAGTGGTTTCCCCCCTCATATTTGAAGCTGATGATGCTGTCGTGTCATTCAGGTGTTCCTGATACCAGAGAGCTGAAGTAATGAGAAGGCACCATGGAGGCCCAGTCCCACAGCTCCCTGACCACTGAGAAGAAGAAAGTGGAGAATTCCGTAGTAAAATGCTCCACTCGAACAGATGTCAGCGAGAAAGCTGTGGCCTCCAGCACTACTTCCAATGGTAAGCAGCCTCGGGGATTACCAGCAGCCAACCCTACCGTCATTTTTATGTTCTCTGCATTCCTTGTGAATTGAGTCTCTGCACCTGGACCAGTGTTTATTCTAGAAGGGGCTAAAGAAAGCAGATGGGATTGAAGAGTGTGTGTGTGTGTGTGTGTGTGTGTGTGTGTGTGTGGAGTGGGTGGGTGGTTGGGTGTGCAGGATGGGCAGGCTTTTGTAATCTCTTATTTTGGCACCAGAACAGCATGTTTTCTTTCTAATTTTCTAATTTGAGATGTATAGGTGATGGGTTGTTAATCATAGAAAGTTCCTGTTGGGGCATTTTGGAAATCATCTTAATTTGTCTGGCAGGAGTTCAGGATCCTTTTCATTTCACATGGAAAAGACTACACTCGACAAAAAAGTTAGCAGTTTTTACAAAAGACACACAAGTTGCCTTATCAAAATTAGTGACGGGATCCCTTTACCCTCAACTGTTAAGTGTAGTCTGCTTTCAAGGAGTTTAGAAGTTAATGGCTGAGCCTCACGGTAGTATTAATAATTGAGATACAGGTTTTGCTGTTGGCTTATAAAATCAATTTTCCTAATCTGTGTTCAGAGATATAGAATAGAGATCACTGTGTCTACATGTTATATTAATATTTTAAACTAAGTGTTCAGAGGCATTTCAAGTCAAGCACGGAGCACTGAAGATGAATTCCAGAGCCCCTTCTGGGGAAAACAGGTCAATAGTCACCTTGGCTTTCTTTCCCTGCTTTTCCACTTTGGAGGCCATCCCTGCCTTTGCAGTTTGGGGAGTTAATAGCTACCCTGGCCTTCCTGAACTGCATGCTGCTTTCCCACGTGCCCTGGTTGGCCTGCTCTCCCTTTCCTGGACACCGCATATGTGGGCACACTGATCTGCATGAGCTAACCTGCTACCTCCCTCTCGGTGGGCTTATGTTTTATTGATTCCTAGAAAGATTTTACTAGGCTGATTTACAATATTTTGACATACAGTTGGAGAAGTCAGAATCATAGACTCCAAGGGTGGAGATCTGGTAAAAACACCGCACCTTCCTGCCCTGACTGTGGCACTGCCTGAGGTGGCACACCGAGGAGCTTACCCTGCTCTCTGTGCCCGTCCTCGTCCACGGTGAGAAAGTGCTACCAGGTGTCCTCCTTCGCAGAGGCCATCAGTGGGCATGGCTGGCTTGACTGGGTGAGGAGAGGGGCTGGTTGCTGGTGTTCAACCTGCTGGCCTCTGAGTCCTGCTTTGAATTGATCCTTAGGGGCATATACTGTTGTCTTTATTATAATAATGAGTTTACTGTATGTACACATGAAAATGTGCCTGCACTTCTCCCTTTATTTTTGGTGTTTCAAATCAGAACTGGAGCTTATTTTAATTGAGCTTGGTATTTGCATTATTCTTCCAATGTAGTTATAGAAAACAAACAAACAAACCATGTGGCTTTTGTTCCCCCGCGCCCCTCTGGAATTTTTAAAAGTTAGACAAATTTATTATTTCAGAAGTAGAATCAGTCCATGCAGTGTTGCTTATTTGGTAAATTTAATCGTGTTTTTATAGGAATGAGCACTTTCTGTGCTTTACGGGAAACATCGACTTGGGTATCTTTTTTTTTTGGTGGTGGGGGAGGGTTTGATCATCTTTATTTTTCTCTTCCCATGACCAGTTAAAAAAATACAATCAAGATACAAGGATCTTAGAGTGCAAAGAGGGCCGCAGCCCTGCGCGGGCTTAGCTTTCGTATTTCCAGGGAGGCACGGGCAGGGATAACAGGCTTGTTGAAAAGCCAGCATTACAAAATACAGAGAGTCTTGTTTCCCTTGACATTTCCAAATGAGAGCCCCAAACGAGTCCCGCTACTATTACTACATAACTTATAAAAGTGCTATACAGGTGCACGGCTATCAATATGGCGTAGAAATGGCTGTTCGTTAGGGAATTGGTATCTACACAGGGGAAGGCTGGGTGGGTGGGAGGCTTGGTGTGGTGTCCCGGCCTGTCATGATGGAAGCGCTGTGGCATAGCTCCCCCTCCCCGGACCCAGCTGAAGCCTCTTCTTCAGGGAGAGCTAGAGGTGAGGAGTGTGGAGGGCAAAGGGGTAAATACAGCTGGAGCTCTAGTAGGCACAGAGGGCATGTGGGGCAAGAAGGAGCACACCCCTTGGACCTACAGACACACCTACGGACCCTGCTGACACCTGATCTCAAGAGGCAACAGGTGGGTCAAATTCAAAGACTTGCCAGATCTGCCCCGGTGAGGGGGGCTTGGGGGGCACTGGGAAGAGAGCAAGGCCCATGGCTGGGTCCTCCAAGGGCTCTTGCCCTGAACTGGCCTGCTCTGGGGAGAGGACGCCCGGGAGGCAGCCGCTCTGGGTTGCTTGTAGCCAGGCTTTGGTGAAGGACAATTTTATCACAATGAGAAAAGCATATGTGTGGGCATCTTTGAGAACCTTCCATAAATTCCTCCCTTGGGACTTCAGAAGATAGTTACCTCTGAGAATTCGTCCCATTGGGCAGCTCCTCTGTGTACAGGAGTGGGTGGGTGGGTGGGTGGAGGGGATCTGTTATCTAGCCAGGTGTCATTGTCTAATTCTTTCTGCACCTTCCCGGGAGTGGGAGCCCCAGGGAGCAGCAGGGCATGGCCAGAGCGACCAGGCAGGCTGACACATGCGCAAAGGGGAACCAGAATCAGGGCTAATGTTGATGCCATTTCTCAGCAAAGTGGAGAATGGCCTTGCAGAACCTAGGAGGGAGCAAGGGAGACTTGGGCCCCTCCTCCTGCCTCAGGGCAGCCCCTACAAGGCTGTGAGGCTGGAGGTGGTGTTTGTGTTCAGGGTGTCCTCTTGGGACTTGGGTAAGATGACAAGACGTCTGGCTCTTGGGGGGACAGTCCCGATTTTTAACAATTTGTCCCGTGTTTCGCAGAGTTTTGAAAAAGTCCCCATTTTTGGAAAGAATGCACACAAAGCTAGGGAACTGCAGGAGGATGGGAAGGGAATATAGGGTTTTTGGCGGCCATATGGCTATTTAGCCAAGATATGAGTTTTATATTATTTTTGTTAATTTTATAATGTTAAACTTTAATAATAACAAATAATTGTTGAGAACTGATTATCAAAGTTCATATTGTTGATCAGTTATTAGAAATGTGGAATATGCACTGTCCTTACCAGGAACAAATACTGAGACTGAATGCGTTTTTTTTTTTTTTCCTACGGTTAATAAAGTGTGGACATCAGAGAAATCGCAATTAAGTGTTGAGACATTGAAAACCATTTTATATGTGAAATATAATTTTACAAATTCTTGTGAAACACTTCATGACCTTTTAAACGACGACAGCAAGCTACTAAAAAAAAAAATCACTAAAATGAGAAACATGCAAAAGAATAAAATAATACCATACATAATTTTTATTTATATTTGTAAACAGTACTTACGTTGACATTTAAAAAATATATGTTACGTTCTATGACAATTTCTGTTGCTCCACATAGACCAAATTTTCCATCAAGAACACCCCCCACCCCCATCAATGGTGTCCGGATTTACCAATGTTACAATCTGCTCACCTTAGACTTGGTGACACCTTCTGGGGCCTCCACGACCACGGAGATGGTACCAAAGGACTCGGGGAACTTGATCTGGGTGTCCTCCTCCTCCTCCTCCTCCTCCGGCTCCTGGCAGCACTTGCTGCAGCGGCAGCAGCAGTTCCTCATGCAGCAGTGGGTGGCCAGGGAGATGGCAGTGTCCCAGGGCTTCAGCGAGCGCAGGCACAGGGGCAGGAAGCTCCAGGTCTGGAACACCTCAGGCAGGACGCGGGGGCAGCGGGCCTGCAGGAGCTTGAGCAGCAGCACTAGAAGGATCACGAGGATGATGGGCACTCCTATCCCCACCAGCACCGGCCAGCCAGCCAGTGAGAGGCCGAACACGGACAGCGGGAACAGGAAGAACAAGGTGACCAGGTAGAAGACGGCAAACCAGCGGTACTTGGCTGAGATGGCGCCCAGGCCCTTGGCCAGGCGGATGGGCAGGCGGCTGAACGGGACTGGGTACCACAGAAGGATCCCCGTGATGTTGAAGAAAAAGTGGCACAGGGCGATCTGGAGCGAGCTCTTCAAGGTCTTGCCTGGACTGGCCAAGGCGGCCATGATCGCGGTGGTGGTGGTGCCGATGTTGGCCCCCAGCGTGAGTGGGTATGCCCTCTCAATACTGATCACACCCACAGCGATCAGTGGGGTCAGAGTAGACGTGAACACCGAGCTGCTCTGCACGACGAAGGTCATGCCTGCCCCCACTAGGATAGCCAGGTAGCCAGTCAGCCAGGAGAAGGGGAAAGGGAAATCCGTGTTGATGGTCTTCTTGATGACAACAGCTACTTGCCCCTTAAGCAGAGAGGACAGGAGCTTGACGATCATGAGCAGACAGCCACAGAGCACCCCCAGGGAGGTGATCAGAAGGAGGATCCCAACAACCACGTCCGGGAGGCTGGCATTCACGAAGAGGTGCTGGCACTGGGCAATGTTCTCCCGGCGGGCCACGTTCTTGATGGTCCAGGTGCGAAAACCGTCTGTCCAACAGAGGTCGGGCAAGGTGCAGTTCTGGATCGAGGGGACGGTGACATTCATCTGGGTCACGCGGGTCAGCGTTTTGCACCAAATCTTGATCAGACTCTTGTTCTTAGCTGCTGGGTCGCTCATGGCAACCTGGTTGATAACCTTCTTATCCAGCTGGATAATCAGCTTTGTGAGGGGCTTGGTGATAACCTTCAGCAGTTCCGGGGCATCTTCTCCACTTTGGAAGTTGAATGAGTCCACTATCAGGTTGGTCAGGGCCTCCAGGTAGTGGGTGGAGACCTCCACGGGCAGGAGCACCAGCACGGAGAGCCAGTTGAAGAAGTCGTGGACGGTGGCCCCTGCAAAAGCCCTTCTGAACACATCCCGGTCTCCGACCTGCATGACTGCCACCAGGGTGTTGGTGATGGAGGTCCCG